AATAACATTTCAAATTAAAATCCCATGAACAAAAAGTCTTAAGGTTTCGTGATAAAACTAGTTGCACATTTTATACAGATTTTTACCAGCGAACATGTCTCCCATTAATGACTGAGTATCAATAAAGGTTATTGAAAGAATATTAAACTGCAAAAGAAAAGAGAGAATATAGAAAACAACAACATAGAAGATAAAATATTACAGATCGAATGAAACAGAACACAGTGAAGACGATCGGGGAACGTCTCCAGAAAAAAGTCTGTATTTATTTTATTTATTAGGTTTGTTTAAACATCTGACTTCAGGAAGAAACTGAGGAGGAGGAAGAGGAGGGGCAAGAGAAAGAGAAGGAGGAAGAGGAATAAGAGGATGAGGAAGAGGTGCAGGAAGAGTATGAGTAAGAGGAAGAAGAGGAGGAGGAGAATGAGGAAGAAGAGGGGGGAGGATGAGGAAGAGGAGGGAGAGGTACAGTAGGAGTACAACAAGAAGAGGGAGAGGAAGAGGAGGTGGAGGAAGAGTATGAGTAACAGGAAGAAGGGGGGGAGAAGGAGGAAGAAGAGGGGGGAGGATGAGGAAGAGGAGGAAGAGGTGCAGTAGGAGTACAACAAGAGGAGGGAGAGGAAGAGGAGGGAGAGGAGGAAGAGGAGGGGGAGGAGCTCCGGCTGAGGAACAAACACAAACAGTCAGTTACACAATAATAAAAACATCAACAAATAAACAACAACAAACTGCTCTGCTGAGTTCAACTCGAAGCGCGTGCATGTGTGCGCGCGCTGACTTTCTCTCCATAGAGTTTCAGTGAGTTTACATCCGGGTTTTTTCCCTAGGCAATGGGAGTCGTACCACCGCCGTTCCTTAGGCAAAGTGAAATAAATTCGCCGCACCGACACAAAAACTAGTCCGCTTTTCGAACACATTTTCCCGACGCGTCGCTTCGTCCATCGGTTCCATCGGAGCAACTTTAACGGCACCGGCCGCGGACATCGGCCGCTCGGTGGCGGATAAACGGGCCGGTGTTGGTCGGTTGAGGAGTTTTTGTCCCCCTTCCTCCAGCTCGGCAGCGCAGGGATCTGTGCGGTGCTGCGGCCGAGCTGAATGAGATTGAAGAAGAGTTCTTCTTGTTTTGTAGCTTCAGTTTTTCTCTTTTGCTCTTTTTCTCTAAAAGTCGGATTCTCTCCGGAGCAGCGGCGCCTGTGAGCGGGGAGCAGCGGCCCGAGCGAGCGGTCCCGGAGCCTCCACCGTGGATCGGCTGCTGACACATATATATTTAATTAATCTGGAGGAGGACTGCTGCTGAGTAAGTGCACATTGGGGCTTTTTAATTTCATAACTTTAATTTTCTCTCCTGTCAAACTTTACCTGTGAGCCGCGGCCCGCCTGAGCCGCTGTGTGGGAGTGTGTCTGCGGGCAGGTGTGTGAGCTACAGCCGGTGTTTGGGTGCAGCAGCCCCGGTGTGTTTCTGTGTGTTTAGCTGCTCTGTTTCTTATTCTAGGAGTTGATATTGTGGAGGACAAGGGGCCGAGATAACTTGGAGCCACCGACGGCCGCTCGCTGTCACAATTCTTGAAAGATGGCGTCTTTCGGGACTGTTACCGAGCGTGCTTCTCCTCCTCCTCCGTGTTCGAGCCTCTCCCCGCGGCCCGCGGCTTTATTTCTCTTCGGTGTAAGTTATCAGCGTGGCTGGCAGCGTTAGCATCGCGGCTAACAGCAGGGCTAGCATTAGCGGCTACTGCTAACGTTATCCACTTGTTCTCGGTAGCGTCCCTCAGCCTCCGCGGAGCAATGTCGGCGGAGACAGAGGGGTCGGTCCGGGGGATTTTACAACCGTCACCGCCGCTCTGGAGCCTCCGGAGCCCCGAACACTGCCCAGTTAGCCGGGATGTACCGAGGCGGGTCGGACGGAGGGTTTACCCCGAGTCCAGGCGCCTGAACACGGAGATGATGAGAGATTGGTGTGGAAACATAAAAAGACTTTTCTCTGTTTGTTGTTGTCACACTCTGGAAAATAAAACCTCCATCTTAGCTCCGTCTCTCTGCTGCGGCATCTCATGGAAGTTTATCCAGAAAACTTCAGTCCCACCCGGGGAGCAATTACTGCAATTAACACACACACACACACACACA